GGAAAAGTGAATTCACATTTTTTCAGTCTCTATCGTGATTATTCCAACTGGCTTACTTTGTCAAATGCAAGCGCTGACTCTTCTGGCGCTGAATTCAACCATCCAAGTTCATGACGAGAATGAATTTTGTCATTGCTTGTTTACGTCCTTCACAAAACGTGAAATTAGGCATTTTCACGGGTAGTCGTGCAGTTGACGGCAAAGAAAAGTACAAAAAAGCATGATGCACGTGCAAAGTTGGTGTTTTGCCTTGTGAAGCTATGGCTAATTTGACTTTCTCGTCACCGCCGCATCTTAAAGTTCCTATTATTTACAATACATTGTGATCCGTCAAAAACAGAATATTCTCAGGGAAAATTAAATTGCTCCTGCTGATAGCATCCCTAACCTTCCTTTGTTTCTGGTTAGGAAAGTAGAAAATAAGAGTTTTTCTTGCACGCACAAGCTTGATCAACGAACCGGGCAAGTGTGGCGAGACAATAGCCGTCGTGTACGAACTCACGAAAAGAACTCAGGAGAAACTGTTCGCCCATTGGGCACAAGAATACAAAGCATTTTTTGTGCCCAATCAGGAGGCGGCATCTGCTTGATTTTTTGGAAATAGTTCGGTGAGAGTCGGTACCCAGGGGCTCTTTTGCTCGTACTTGAAAACTTTCGTCTCACCTTTTCTCCCGACCCAACTGACTGCCCCTGGGTCTCCGAGGATGACTGTCACTGATCTTAAATGGCATATAGTATTTATGATCATTCAAAACATTTCAAAAAACCATTTTTGTGTATAAATGTTCAAGTAATACTCATTTAAGAAACAAAATTAAATTCAGGTAAAATTTTTTTCAACCAAGGGTAATTTCCAATTCCCTTTGTCTCCCAGCCCTAATTATTCATGAATTAGGGCTAGCAGACAAAGGAAATTGGAAATTATCAACTTAAGTTAAAAAATTTCAACCTAACTATAATTTTGACCCGTAACATTTACACAAAATTTGACAAGGTGATAATCTGGATGACAACTATCACACCAGAAGGTATGAGGTTCCCCAGCCGAAGCAGAAACATCTTCAACGGAATTAACAAATTAACCCTTGCATAACCCCACAATTCTGATGGATAATGAAACCTTTTACACTTAATTTTAAGTTCCTTTATACATATTCTTCATATGGTTCATATTTCATTGTCAGAGGTACCAATAGTTGAATAACAGTTTATAATTATTAAAGATATTTCATCTTCAACAATAAGTTAACCTATCCTTCACTGTAAATATTGGTAAGTAGTAACTCAACTAAGAAATTACCACAATTATGGTAAATATAATGATATCCTGTGTTTACATGGCAAAATCATAATGCAAGAATGATTGATTGATTTAAAAATAATAAAACAAACATCGATAAAAGTAGTACATGTACAGTGTACATCCACTTAGTGGTTCTTTGTCTGCCACATCCCTGATCAAACTGGAATTTGGAAAACATGGTAGTTTTTGAGGAGAAGGAAAAACCAGGTGCCTGGAGAAAAATAGTCTGCAAAAGCAAACATATTTCCAGTAGTCGCTTCTCACTTTTTTGCCTGGAGAGAAGCGACAACACAAAATATGTCTGCATTTGCAGACTAGGAGAAAAATCTCATCCCACATACAGTGTTTGAGCCTGGGCCACATTGGTAAGAGGTAGTGGACTCAATATTTTATAACCCTTGACTAAAGGTAACTGAAAGAAAAGTTCAAGTAGACCTTTCCTGCATTCTATTCTAGTAAGTACACACACAGTATCAAGGCCAAGGCCTGGGTGGCCAATTTTGACCCAAGCCTCTTTTTTGCGTTTTAGTTTACAGGATAGGTCTTTATTTTACTTTGTATAAGTATTACAATAAAAATTGGTATAACTTAATGATCCAGAAGGCTTTACAAACCAAAGCAGATGATTGCAGCCCTTGCACTGCGATAATACATTGCACTCATGGCTTGATATCTTTCTGCCCCAGCTGTGTCCTAAAATGACAATATAACAAAACAGAGGATAATTGTATTTAAATTTGCCTGGCTAAGAGTACAAAATCAAACTGCTACAGCAATAAAAAAAAACCTACCCATATTGCAAGGGATAAGTTTCTCCCTTGAATGTAAAGATCTTTCCTACAAAAGGCTGCTCCAATTGTCTGCAAAAATAAATAAATAAATAAATAAACAACAGGTGAAAAATTTTTAATGTTACATTAACTTCAACATGCCAAGAAAAGATAAACCAAACATGAGTGTTTCTACTTTTGTTTAACAGAATACATGTAATGTCAGTTTTGTTTCCTTTCATCCAAGCATTTGTGAATAGGTAAAACAAACTTGGTGGTAAAAAGGTAAGAATTGCATTCTTTACACGTTTGTCAACAATATAAAGTAAAGATCTGAAATAAAAGTTTTCTTATAATATAAGCCAAAATATAATAATATTTATTGGTTATGGCCTCTTTAGAAAACACTCATCATTATCTAAGAAAGTATGAGGTACTGCTGTATTCACTCTAATTCAGACCTGTGAAATTGTTGAGTTAACTTTATCTAAAAATAATTGTGACCCGCTTTTCTCCCTTATGACACCCTTTTACCTTCTCTATGGGTCCTGTGGACCCCAGTGTAGAAAATCCTGGTAAGAACACTGATAATATAAAATTTCTGTGTTAGGTATGATTATTGCATGCAGTAGTCACATACCCATGACTGAAATATTTAAATTACACTTAATGCAATTCATAATTCATATTAATTCTTTACTTCTAACTCATATCTATCAGATGTGCAATATGCACATACACCTGTACAACATACAGGTTACCTGAGATACAAAAATACCAGCTTATAAGTTCAGAAACTCACTGATAACTATTTCAAAACCTGTCAACAATGAAAATCATTACAATAGACATGGACACTTTATTTTACATGGTGAACATGCTTAGCCATGATACAGTTTGTTTACAGATATCCGACAGTCACGGGTAAAATTAAGGCAGAAACTATAATACAAAACTAATGTTTAAAACTTGAATTATTAATCATGCTAAGATTATGAATTAACTATGATAAAATTTAAAATACCTTAACCTGAAATTATGATTTACCATGAAAGACTGGTTTGAAAATATTATGTCAATGAATATTTATTTTCAAAAAAATTTACTGTGAATTTCATCTAAAATGTTGCCTTATCATTTGCTGGAAAAATAGTTCATAATGATGTACATCTTCACCTCATTTTTTAAACTGGGGAAAACTAGTCCTAAAAATATGCATGGAATGAGGATCAGTACTCACACTGGGAATCTCTTCTGTAAAAAAGCCCCAAATATATCGGATAACAAGACATGTTTTCCCACTGCTGACACCTCCTAAAAGCAAAATTTTGTGATGCACTTTTTGCATTTCACAAAGCACTTAAAAAGGATTGTGAACCATGAAGAACATTTTGTTGAAAAGGTTTGCTTAATTATAAGAGTAAACAAACTCCAAATGTGGAAAATTTGCTAGGCACCAAGTTATTTTCAGAGCATAATGAAATTAAGGGGTCTTGGCACTTAATTTGCAAAACTGTCATACACAGTAGTGAATACATGAGACAATTTTGACAAATTGATATATTTTGTTGGCATGCCGGCTTTCCAGAATGTTACCTTTTTGGCCAACTTACATGTTTAATTTGCACTTTATTTACATGATATTTGTGTGATATTGTGTACTGCCGGTGAGAGTACACTATTTTAGGGCAGGAATGTTTATTATTTCTTATATTTTGTGGGGCTTTCAGAATTCACAGTGTTTCATTGAGCATGCAACCTACAGATTAGTCAGTAATCTGCTGGTAGATAACTGACTAAGTAATCTGTAAGTTGTGTTGATTTGTACTAAGGCTCTTAGCCAAAGAAAAGACAGATAGTGAGTACAACGCACATAGTAAAATCTCCACTAATGGCCGCCTCTCTATAACAATGGTCACTTTTTCTTGTCCTAGCAGGCAGTCCATACATTGATTCTAGTTTAAACCTCTTTCCAATGGCCACCTCTATACAAGGGAAATGGCCACTAAAATATAAAGCGTGTCCCCAATTGTCAGCGGCCGACAAAAAAGTCAAGAATAGTCATGGAATTTTTTCTCTGTATAGCGTGTCGATGATTATTCAAGGCACAAGTCTTTCAAATCATTTAAGATATATTAATGCAAATACAGTATTTTTTTATAAGAACCTTTTTATAACATTCTTAGAACGTACCTTAGGCTTAAAGTCAGTTAAGAACATTTTTATTTTGCTCATTTGTTTCTAGACTATGTGTAGTAGTAGCTAATTTTGGTGATTTTTATCAGGCGTATACAAGTGTGCGAGAGAAAGTCACCTTCCCAAAAAATCAACATGTGCCATAGTACACCCTAACCTCCCCATAAGGGCCACCTCTCTGCAATGGCCACTTTTCTTTCTCCCCAAGGGGGCCAATGTGGAGATGTTCAACTGTAATAATATTATTAGTACAAAACCGCACCATTGGATAAATATACATGTATCAAAAGCAATGTCTCATATAGTGGGCAACATTTCTTCACCTCAGGCCCTAAAGCACGTGGTGAAACTGGGATTGTAAAGTAGTGCATTAAGCCAAATTAAACAGGTCCAAAATGACAACAAATTTCAAAATATTATCACATCATATTGGACTTTTAACAAAATAGAACTATTGTTACCTTACCTCATTAATACTGCAGTAATTTATGTATTTTTATGTACATTAGCAATTTTTTTTCTTTTCGATTCACATTGGAAAGTCTCCAATTTCTATTCAACATAGTTTGTGAGGTCTTCGATCTGGTTGATATATTCTGAAAGCCTGTTCTCTTTCACATTACACCGAATTATAAAAACAAGATAAGGTTATGTAGAATGTAAAAGACAGAGTGTAATAATTACATTCTTCCATTTTCAGTTTCAATCAATTAATTTGAAAGTTAAAATGTTATTCCAACTATACAGGTGGTCATGCATCGCAATTTGAGTCTACACTATCTATAAATTTTAATACTTTCTTGATGATAAAATCCATTAAAGGAAAAACATAGATTTCGCAGATATACAATACTACAAATTTGAGAACACATTCGCCTTACCATGCACCATTAGAAGAGACATTTTATCAAAAACAATTTGCAGTGTTTTTCTGTTCTATACTTTACACAGGGTTGCTGTAATGTTAAGCTTAATAATTTTTACATGAAAAATCTAAAAAATGGCGTGATACCTAATCCCAGATTGCATCTTGCAAGCTTAACTTTTGAGTCTGTTAAGTGCGATTGAATTTAAACGTTTGTTCTCTTTTATTTCTGAGGCGATCTACACTCTGAGCTCAAAGTGATAAAGTAAGCTTAACTGTACTCACGCTGGGAGTTTCCTCACTGAAAGATCGCGTTATGTATCGAGTAACAAGGCAAGTCTTTCCACTGTTGACTTTTCCTAGAAGGACAACTTTAAGGTAAGTTTTCTCTTGCATTTCATAAAGAATGTATACGATGAATGAAAACTACAGTCAGCGAGTAGAGATCAGCTCCGAGAAAGGAGTTAAAAGGCTGTCAGAGTTGAAAACAGCTTCCTTTCCGCCTGCCCGCCATATTTGATTAGTGTGAGCCGTCATGTAAGGTACATAATACGTCACTGTACCCTAGGGAGTCTCGGGACTGGTTTTGGTCGACAACGAGGGACTTCTCACCGACGGAAATTTCCGCCTCCATAGAGCCTCCATAGCCTTGGGGGTCAACCTTTAGTAACTTCCTTTTCCAGGGCAGTCATGTAAGAGCTTTTAGACCGCTGTCTTTCACTTGCGGCATAGCGGGTTAGCAGGACAGACGTTTTGCGACAACGACCCCACCCCACCCGCGAGCCGTTTGCAGACCTCGGTGATTTTTGGCGCCAAATCGAGTTCACTGATCAGTTTTTAATGACGGCTCAACCGTATTGAGTCTAGCCTCCAACGCAGGCGTTTTTGGGGGAGCTTCCCTAAAAACGCCTGCGTTGGAGGCTATATTGAGTCGTCCGTGTGAATTTATAGTTTGGAAGAAACGTAAACTCTCAACCCCATGGGGGAACTCTAAATTAAAAACAGCAGGTATACTCTTGATCGCTCTTCAGAAAATAAGTGTGATATTATGAAGTAGTAATCAATACCGCTGACATAATATATCCCATACTGAGAAAACGTTTCGGGTACGTTCTTGTAAGTTGATTTGAGCTTTCGCTGATTAAAGACTGTTTGGTTAAGTTTGCTCGTTTTGAAGCTAAGGACTAACACATGGTGTCAGAAGTCAGTGGATGAAGCTGTTTGCCGACCGCATTTGTGAAATATTTGTCTTGTGAACACCTTGGTTCGTTGCTGTTCGCATAAATCGAAACCGCGTGGTGTGAAATGGCGGCCGGGCGTCTGTTAAACCCGCCGGATCCTCTGCAGCTTTCAAGTGGAAATGTATCTCAGAATTGGAAAAGATTTAAACAAAAGTGGAGTAACTATGAGCTAGCTATCGGAACAGCCAGAAAGGAAGACCCCATTCGAGTAGCAACTTTTCTCACCGTGATCGGCGACGAAGCGCTAGATGTTTACAATGCATTCACGTGGGACAGTGACGAAGACAAAGTCAAAATGGATAAAGTTCTAGAGCATTTTGAGCAGTATTGTGAGCCTCGCAAGAATACAATTTACGAAAGGTATTTATTCTTTTCGCGTGGACAGGAAAGTGGGGAGCCCATTGATAAATATGCCACAGTTCTACGAAACATGGCAGACTCTTGTGAATTCCAAGATTTGAAAGATTCA